ACTTTACTAAGGACAGATACCATTCTGAGGTTCCAGTGGACATATGGACAAGAGCCATTGATTAAATATAGGATCCATTAGGTGAAAGACAGACATGCCTGCTTCTACAAAATTTGCTAATGAGGCTTAAAGACTAAGTCAGCTGAGGGATATTAGCCATGATTTCCAAGACCTGTTGGAAAGAAAAGGAACGAGAAAACAAGTTCAAATGACTCAATCCAAAGATGATTCCTTTCTATATATTTTTCTTCAAAAGCTGACACCCTTTTAAATAACCCCACTATTTTGTTGCTAATGTTTTTGCTTATTTATTGTTCTTTCTCTGTGGGAAGCTAGAAAATATCCCAACCAACACACTATTGGTAAAAGGAGATCTGTAGAGAAGCATCTTTGTGATTCTGCTCCTTGAAAAATTAGTCAAAGAGCAATTTATGAGAAAATTAAATTCAAATTGAGCAAACAACATGTTTCAAAGTTTCCCACATTTTGATGCCACTAATGAAATACTTGGTGTTTAAATGTGTTTATTAGCTTAGTTCTAGGGGCATAAACTTCCACTTGATAGATTAAAATGACAGACAAAAATTTGCCTTGGATCAAGGTACAAAAACTCCTCTGGTTACTAATTCTTTTTCATTGTCTACCTAAAAATCAGACTCGAAGTACATGGTCTTCTCTGTGTCTGCACTATTTAAGAACACTCATCAGACAACGTTGAATTCTAACCTCTCTTTATAGTTCTTCCTCCACAAGTCATCATGGTTAGATCTCCACCCAATAATTCTAAGGCAATACATTCCTAAAGTTCCGTAGATTTCTAACAATGATTTTTATCAGTCTTACTTTATGAGACAAATATCTTCATGGGTTTATAAAGCATTGAAACAACATTCATCTCAGATAACACGCTATTTCTACTTGCCATGTTTAAGAACTCTGCACTCTCCCCAGAAATTAGTTTATATCATATTGGTCAAAGAGCAAGAAGAAAATATAGTTTTTGGTGAATTTTCAGACAGCTTTTTCAGATATAGACAGCATCTTGACATCTTTAGAGAGCATAAAGTTTTCCCTAAAATATTCACATACACTAGCCTTTTTTTTTTTAATGCTTTAAAGCTTAGTGGTATAGAGTGAAAGACAACTTTTCCCTCCCTTTGACTAACATCAGCTCTCAGATCTCTCTTTTGAAGAGTTAATATCTTAGGAAAACAGAAACTTCAATATTATTCTTTAGTTTAAGTTTGAGATTATGACTCCAAGATTCTTTGTTGATGAGAATTTTCCCTCAATGTTTTACTATGGTACACACTGAGGAAAGCATATGTACCCTTCTTTTAAAGAGAACAGAGATACAGAACAGTGAATAATCTTGTGTCATGGACACTGGTTCTGGGTTTCTAGTAGACCTATTCACTGTGACACATATTGCTTCTCTTTCTAGCTGATGAGTATAAATATGAGCTTCATCAAACTTGTTGATTTCCAGGCAATTCAATTTACAGTTTATAGAATATTTTGGCTGTGATAATTTATTGTTTAATATAGTCATGTGCTTCTCTATGGTCAAGCTTCTCTCTCTCACAGAGGAGATAAGAAAGGTCTGATTAAAACTCTTGCCCAGTTCATTTTACCTGTACAGGTTGGCAGAGCATACGTATGCTAGAAAGCATAACAAAGACACCTACTGATACATCGAATGGCCCTTCTGGTGAGAAACAACAGATGAAATATTTACTTCAGAAAATGCTGGTTTTGAGTTTTTTGCAGTGTGTAGCTGATACTATGGAAATGATAGCAAATCAACTCGAGTGGTGACTTGCAAGAATTCTAAAACTTATGTAGACACCCACAAGCTCAGTTCCTACCATTTTCTACCAATTCGTGACTTGTGACCCTTGTCATATCAAGACAAACATGTTTTCTCAGCTATTTTTTGGTACATTTTTCAAAGGATTTTTCTTTTTTTGTATCAAAAGGTAACCTTGTACCCACTCACAGTGGAGTTTCAAGCAATGCCCACTTCAACTCTGTGAGAGACTTAGGAGACTATGAGATGGTGGTAATTATCTCCAGATTCTAATAACATGTTGTCCCCTTGCTGAAGATACAGAATGCCTTTAGCTGCATTAGTGTCTCGCTGAGGCCTTCCTCAAATAGGATGTAATAGGAAATGAGCTGTGTGGCTGGAGACAAATTTGGTCATAGAGGTATTCGAGGCACTGTGTTAGAGCAATGTAAACATCAAACTAGTGTAAGCACTCCAGAAATGATTTCTGTATCAGAGAGGAATTTCATGTACATTTTAAATATTTCCCCCAAATACAATATAGTTTACCAAAGCATTTGGGAGGTAACAAATAACAGGATACATCTTGGCTAAAAATTCATGCTGTTTTGGGCTAAAGGAGGTATGCCATTCTTTAAACCTGTCTGTATACTTCATGTTCCCAACTCAGCTTGAACCTGTAAAATGAATTCTACATAATAATTAATTCTGTAATTATAAGTAAAGGAATTTCCTGTAATGGTGACATAGAATTTGGGATCAGATGTCAAACTTGACAGAGAAAATATTTTCTCAGATCAAGTATTTATTTATTAGTAGAATACAACTTTAAATTAGTTTTCTTGTCTTCTTTAAATTTCATGCCTCTTAAGATTGTTGCCCAATAATTGTTATTTTTATAGGCAGAATTCTATAATTAAAGGCATCATCACTCTCTGCCACATGCTACGGCTATCAAATAATGATCTTAAAATAGACCCTGAAATAAATGCCTGTCAAATAACTAGCAATGACAGAATCTTGGCAAAAGTCAGTCAGTCAGTCATAGAACTGGAAAAAGAGCAGAAACGAAAAAATCCAAAATAGAATACCTTTAGGATTTCATAAAGGCTCAGCATTTCTTTATCATGGGAATGCCAGAGACATCACAGTTTGAATCCAAAGGCAAATTGATTAAGTAGCCATAGAAGTTTACCAGATTTTGCCACAGCATTGATTAGAGTGTTTCTGCTCACTTTCCTTTCAGTCAAAATATCTCAGGTATTAGCTGAAAGCTTTTTATCCTCATGGCTCAGGCACTGAGGTCATGAAGCACATCACAGAGAAAAACAGCCTTGGAGGGAATACCCAAGCACGATGGAACTTAGAAGCTGGCATCATGCTTCTGAAATCAGAGGAACTGAACAATTCACACTGAGAATTTTGTAAGAACACTGTAGACAATCCCTTGGATCTGTGTTCCTAATATGAATTCTATACCAGATGTAGACTGTACAGAGAGGTTCAAGGGTAAGGAGAATGGGGGCTAGGGTTTTGGTTTTCTAATGTTTACAATTTAAAAATATGCCCAGAGTATGGAAAAATGAAGTTTAATTGGCAAAATTTCATAGAAAGAAGTACCATCTTATCAAAATTATATAGTCATGATAAAAAGAGAAATTGAAGCATGATGCCTTTGTTATTGATGAAATGGAAATATTTAAAGAAAAATTTAATAGGAGTTGCTTATGCTTATCAAAAACTAAGATTAAGAAAACAATGTAATATCAGTTTAGGCACTGTAAGAAGAACCAGCCAATGGAAAATACTTTTGTAATGATTTTTAAAAAGAAAAGGCAGTTTTATATGAAAAAATAAAGCAATTAACCAGATTTTTGGAGAAAAGATACAGCTCCACTCCTGCCCTGTCCCCAAATATAGTTCAGATGTGGGTATTCTGCCTCAGGCAGATGAAAACAAATGTGAAATATATTGTAATATGGCATGAGGTATCATTAATTTTTATGTGATGAATGACATGAAAACTCAAGAGTGACCATAAAATCAATCCATCATCCTGAAGTTGTTGATATACAAAGTGACACACCTATAATTTTTGCAATTGATTCAAAAGTCAGGGTGGGTGTGGAGAGTAGAAGTGTGATTTAGAGTTTCCAGTGCTTTTGTAAATTAAAAAGAAACCCACAATTATTTGTCACTTTTGTTTTCATATCACCAACATATTTTATCTAAAAACAATTAAGGCTAAATACTTTTCCTCGACTGTATTTTTTTTAATATTTATTTCTTTGACAGAGACAGGTCACAAGTAGGCAGAGAGGCAGGCAGAGAGAGAGAGGGAAGCAGGCTCCCCACCGAGCAGAGAGCCCAATGCAGGGCTCGATCCCAGGACCCTGAGATCATGACCTGAGCCGAAGGCAGAGGCTTTAGCCCACTGAGCCACCCAGGCGCCCCTCCTCGACTGCATTTTTAAAGACATATTTAATAAATGACAATCTTTAATTTCCCCTTGGGACCATTTACTAAGAAAAATGAAATATGAAACTGAACACTGAACCGATTTCCAAAATTTTGTTGGAAAGGGAAACCTCTGGAGATTCTCTTAATCCCAACTGATAATGTCAAACTTCTAATTAGCTTGAGGGAAATTTGGCTAAATGATTCTTCCAGACTTCTGTAACAGACACGATTAATTTCACTTGTCCAAATGCCATATTTTCATACTTTCCTTTTTCTCTTAGGCCATCTCTCTTGTACTTTGTCATTCACAGTCCTGTTCTTGTCTATCAGCCATTTATTAAGAATAGAAAAATGACATTAATGCATAATCTCCCACATTTTAACAGAAGTCTGATCTACAATCTCATAACCTTACCAGTGCTTGAGTCACCGTAGGACAGCTTGTTGGGTGGACATAGTAATGTCATTATTAGTGGTCCATTTAGAATTGTTCATTGTATACTCATTTTTAGCTAATATGTTCCATGAATGCAAAACTAAAAATACAAATCAAATTCTACTTAAGAAGTAAATCCAATCTTTAAAAAAAAAAATATCGTCTTTCTATATTCTCCCTTTCGTGGCCTATTTCTTTCTCCCACATGACATGGTCATTTTCGTTGTGATTTAAAACTCACTGATACCATCTTGAATACTTTCTTATATACTCATCTTCTTCACAAAAAAAAAAAAAAAAAAAAAAAACCCAAAATTGTGCATCCATGACCGTGAGAGCACATTAGGAAATCTCTGATCTTGTTTGAATTCTTTTGAACACCATTGACTATTCTGGTTTCTTAAAATAGATTTTTCTGGCAGAAAAAGAAAGACATGCCATTATGCATGGTCTACTCAAAAACAATTTTGTGGTTTGTTGCTTTTTTTTGGAAGTAATATTTGGGTGGGGTTTTAGATGATCAGTTCCTACGAAGTGTCTAGCAGCCGCATTTCTTCTCTGCTGGTTTTTCTCCATCTTGCTTTCCAGAGTCTCCACCATTGACTGTGTCGGGAACTTGTGTCTTCTCTACACACTGTTCCATTCGCTTCATGATTAAGTCCAGAAGGGTTTCCACAGCTTTCTCCACATTCTGGCCAGTTGCAGCACTCGTTTCAAAATATGGTATACTTGCATCGAAGAGGTGACGCATTATTTTTGAGAGGAAGAAATCAGAAAAGACACAAGAAGATGTACAAATGAGGAACACAGGCAAAAACATGGCTGGCTGAGAGATGGTGAAATAATCATGGTTTTGCCCACTGAGTTGGAAAGCACCTTTTTTCTTTCAGTGGGTAAAAATTGATGGGCTGCTTTCTCATATGGGTATAACAATTTTATGGACAAGGAAATAGGAGGTACTTGGGAATTTGAAGCTAGGGCATTATCACCATTTCACAAAAAAATTAAGAGGGTAGAAATACCTAAACTAGTGATAAATCTTACCATTAAGGTATCACTTCTCTTCTAATCAATTATCTGGAAATTTGACTTAGAAATTAAGCAGGCACTGAATAGGAGATGCATGTAAATAAATAGTCTGTATTTATATGGAATCAAAAGTTATACATTTTTAAGGCTCTCATGGAAAATTCTTCAACAAAAACTTGGCAGGTATGATGAAACTACTTTAAATTTAAAGTTGGGGGGTTGGTGCCTGGGTGGCTCAGATGGTTAGGCATCTGCCTTTGGCTCAGGTCATGATCTCAGGGTCCTAGGATCAAGCCCCCCATCAGGCTTTCTGCACAGCAGGGAGCCTGCTTCTCCTCTCTCTCTGCCTGCCTCTCTGCCTACTTGTGATCTCTCTCTCTCTGTCAAATAAGTAAATAAAATCTTTAAAAAAATTTAAAGTCTGGGGGGTGCCTGGATGGCTCAGTTGGTTAAGAGACTGCCTTTGGCTCAGGTCATGATCCTGGAGTCCCAGGATCGAGTCCCGCATTGGGCTCCCTGCTCAGCGGGGAGTCTGCTTCTCCCTCTGACCCTCCCCTCTTATTCTCTCTCTCTCTCTCTTTCTCTCTCATTCTCTCATTCTCTCTCCTTCAAATAAATAAAATCTTTTAAAAAAATCCAAAAATGTAAAGACTGTGTTGGAAGTCAACTTATCATTTTAATTCTTTTTTTAATTTGCCATTTAGGCTCAGCTAGGATAAGGATTACAATATTGTGTCCTGGTCAGGTGTTATTTCTTAGAGTTTTAGAGTTATTAGTGGGAAGGCAGTAGACTATCGTGTTGAAGATCATGAGCTCTGATCTCAGACTGCCTGGGTTGAAATCAAGCTCTGCTACTTACTAGCTACCTGGCCTTCCATCAATTACTTAATCCTTCTATGCCTGAATTCTTCATATATAAAATGGGATGATTCTAGATATCCTATGTATGTTTATGAGGGGTTAAATGAGTTAAAGACTAGGGACAGTTGTTAGCACATACTAAGTATCCGGCAAATGTTAGCTGCTATTACTAGCAAGGACTTGATTTGAAAGATCACATACATTCCCCTGAAAGATCTTTTTCATTCATGGGCCATGACTGATTCAAGGGGATTCCTCCCAGTATCAACCTCATGTTCCTGCTCCATTACTAAGCAGCAGTGGGCAAGGTCAGATGACACGTCTGTGTCAATGACTTACCCGTATTTGTCAGCCAGCTCCCGGGCTTGCCTTTCATTGACTTCCCTCTGGTCTGGCAGGTCTGCTTTGTTGCCAATTAATATTATATCTGGATTTTCACAATAAGCATTTGCTTGCAGTTGGCCTTAGGAAGAAAGCAGACGGACCCAGCACATTAGTTATAAACAAGTAATGTCGGATGATTGCTCGTACTCTGAAATCCTTTTCTTTTTTTCCTACTTCAAATTCCTAATTTAATTCTTCACCTCCAATTTGGCTGCTTGCTAGTTAGATCATATTAGCCAAGCTACTTAACTTCACTCAACTGCAGCTTCCTTGTCTATAAAACGAGCGGAGAGGACGCCTCAAAAATTGCAGATTGTGAATATACATAATGATGGCTATGAACAACCTACGATCACTTATCAGTGCCTTTGTGTACCTGGGGAAATGTTATCCAAGATGGACGTACTGCTCCAGACTATTCATTCCTCATATATAAGTAGAGATAATAGAACGGGAATTTTAAGTGTATAAAGTCTGCTCTTTCCTCTAAGAGGCTGCTCCTTTTTCTTTTTTAAAGTGGGCTCCACACCCAACATAGAGCCCAGTGCAGAGCTTGAACTCATTAACCTGAGATAAAGACCTGAGCTGAGATCAAGAGTCAGATGCTAAACTGACTGACATCCAGGCACCCCTAGGCAGCTACATTTCTATCTCCTGAAGTCGAAGGTAATGATCTATTGGAACAGAACATCTCTGAACCACCACAAATTCATGGAGAAACCATTTAAAAAAAAAAAAAGATTATTATTTTTTTTGACACACACACACACACACACACAGAGAGAGAGAGAGAGACAGAGACAGAGACAGAAAGGTAGCTAGAGAGGGAACACAAGCAGTGGGAGTGGGAGAGGGAGAATCAGGGCTCCTGCCGAGCAGGGAACCCAATGCTGGGCTTGATCCCAGGGCCCTGGAATCATGACCTGAGCTGAAGGCAAATGTTTAGCAACTGAGCCATCCAGGCTTCCCTCATGTAGAAACAATTTTAAGACACATGGCTTGTTTTTCCTTTTCTCCAGGACACACTGTGCAAAAGAGAGAAGAAAGTGGGAGGGAGAATGGGAAGGAGGGAAGAAAAAAAGGAAGGATTGAAGAAGGGTTGAGGGAGGGAGAGAACAAGGAAGGAAGGAAAGAAGGAAAGAAACGATAAGAAATCTGTGAACCTACGTTTCTGAAGTTACGAGGATTACTTTAGTTTCTCTCTCAAGGCGTGCTGTATGCAACTCTGCTGAGGAGGAAGACAAGGCTTACCTATAACACTGATTATTCGAGTGTTAAAAATTAAAGTGCCATGAGACATGCCAATTAATTATCTTAAATCCCAGTAGTATCCTGGATTTTTTTTTAAAATAAGGAAGAATTTTATATGCCTTGTAAAAGGATGAACAAATCATTCTCTGAAAGACTCTAATAATCTTATTATCTCTTTATCTCCTCAGAATCTAATAATACCACCAAAATTTAGAGGAAGAAATACAATAATAAAAGGAAATAGAGACAAATCCCAGGATAAACACTCAGTTGGAGAAGCAATGAAGGAAGTCAGAATTTGTGGTATTTGTCCCCATGGTAGCAACCATATTACTGAACTCACGTTGAAAGCAGTTATAGGTATTTATTATAAATAATATATAATTGAAATGCATTATTTTTGGAATATTCTGTGCCAAACACTAATCCCAGCTTGGGGTTACTGTAATGGAACAAAGCCAACAAAGTCTGCACTTTCATAGAGCTCACATTCTAGTGGCAAAGAGTCAAAAGGACAAGTAAACAAAGAAATACGTAATATAATGTCACATTGTGGCATGACAAAAGAGAACATAAAGTGTACTGAGGAGACACAAAGTAGTCAAACATACTAATTTACTTATTTTTTGAAGATTTTATTTATTTATTTAAGAGAGAGCATGAGCAGGGGGCAGGGGCAGAGGGAGACAGAGAAGTAGGCTTCCCACTGAGCCTGATGCTGGACTCAAACCCAGGACCCAGGATCATGACCTGAGCTGAAGGCTGATGCTTAACCAACTGAGCTGCTCAGGTGCCCTGAAGCATACTGGTTTAGACGGGTGGTCAGGGAAGGCTTCTTCCAAGAGATAAAGTTTGAACAAACCCTGGAAGGAGATGAGAGAAATATCATACTCCATAAACGGGAGAAGAGACATCAAGGCAGAGAAAGTTGGAATGTACCAAAGCCACAAAGTAGGGAATGTGCTTTTTGTCCTGGGAAGAGCAGGAGAGACGTTTGGCGGGAGGCCAGTGAGCTGGGACATAATAAGAGTAAATTACACAGGAATCTAAATCCTGATCACCAAGGCCTTACAACAGAGTGAAGGATTCTGGATTGCATTCCAAGTGAGTTGGGAGGTCCCAGAAGGGCTTTGAGAAGGGGAGTTAACATGATCCAGTGTTTTTGTTTGTTTGTTTGTTTTGTTTTTTAAGATTTATTTATTTGGGGGGGAGGGGCAGAAGGAGAGGGAATCTTAAGCAGACTCTCCACTGAGCGAGGAACCTGACTTGGGGCTCAATCCCACGACCCCAAGTTTATGACCTGAGTTGAAATCAAGAGTCAGATGTCCAACTGACTGAGCCACTTAGGTGCCCCAATATTTATAAAAAAAAAAAAAAAAAATCCCTCTGGCCACAGATAGCCCCAACAAATCTAGAAATGATAAACCATCACCAGTCCATAGAATTGCTTGTATATCCCATTAGGATTAAAATTCTTATTTGTAATAAAAATGCAAATGAAATATTTCCTTTAGTGCTACATCAATTTTTGGAAGAGAAGAATCAAATACTACTTTCCGAATACTACTATCGATCTGTCTTTAATAACTGATTAGGCTACTTTTACCTTATGTCTAAATTGTGTAGATTTTTCATTTCAAATCTTCCTTACATCTGAACGGTCCCCCCCCCAAAAAAATGTAACATTTCAGTGTGAATTGATCAACACACCGTACCTTATTTCATGTGGCTGGTCTGCTCTGGAGCAGTTTCCCACCCAATTAACCCATCCATTAATTCATCCATTAGTTAACCCGTGTGCAAAGGTACAATTTTTGGAGACAGCGAACCCCTCAGAAAACACTGCTGCTTTTCTCTCTTTTCTGGATTAGATGTTGCAACTCACATAGCTGTAACAAGTCCTTTAAGACTTATTGGATAAGTGGAATTAATAGCCTTTCAATTGCAATAATAAAGACCTTGATACACACACACACACACACACACACACACACATGCATAGGTGGTGCTATGCAGCGTTCTTCTAAGAGTGTCAAAGGAAAGTTCCATGCCAAACCACCTTTGATGAGCCACATGCAGCCCATCACTTTGAAGGTGACACAGGAAATGCTAATCGCATGGATCCCAAGGTTAATCTGTGGAACCTAATCTGGCTCCATGTTGGAAGGCAAAGCAGCAAATAGAGCTGTTGGGGCCCAAAGTGGACAATAAAAGTGACTTGGTCCCACTTACTCATCCAGTTTCTGACATTTAAGAAGCTCTGTTGACTGGTGAGGTCAAACATTAATAAGAAACCCATGGCATCTCTGAAAAATGCAGTGGTGAGGCTCCGGAATCTGCCAAGAAAGCACAATGGATAGTTCTGGAAGTTAGCCCACAGACATTATGATAGCAGTATATACGACACTATTTCCCTTTGAAATGTGAAATCCCCATAGCATCCCATGGATTCTCCTACAGAATTAGAGAGTGAGCAGAAAGACGGCTGAAAGGTGAGGGAAAGGCATCTGGCTGTAGACCTTTCTTAGGATCACATCCTGGCTTTATGGCCTAGAGCATTTATGCACACAGTTTATAACATTCAATCACATGATGGCTTGCACAGTCCCTTGGACTCTTTCTCTTGTTGGTTCACGGATTTCTTGTGGTCCATAATTGAAATGGAAGCTACTTTCAAATGGATACTTTAACTTATACTCTTCAATCTCCCTTGTCTGTGCCTAGAAGAAGGTCAGCTCTTGGTAGCCTAAAAATGAATGCCTGTGATTACATGCAGAAAACCAAAACTTTGGAAAACAGTGTGGAGATTCCTTAAGAAATTAAAAATAGAGCTACCCTATGACCCTGCAATTGTACTACTGGGTATTTACCCCAAAGATAAAGATATAGTGAAAAGAAGGGCCATCTGTACCCCAATGTTCATAGCAGCAATGGTCACAGTGGCCAAACTGTGGAAGGAACCAAGATACCCTTCAATGGATGAATGGATAAAGAAGATATGGTCCATGTATACAATGGAGTATTATGCCCCCATCAGAAAGGACGAATACCCAACTTTTGTATCAACATGGACAGGACTCGAGGAGATTATGCTGAGTGAAATAAGTTAAGCAGAGAGAGTCAATTATCATATGGTTTTGCTTATTTGGGGAGCATAAGAAGTAATATGGAGGACATGGGGAGATGGAGAGGAGAAGGGAGTTGGGGGAAATTGGAGGGGGAGACGAACCATGAGAGACTATGGACTCTGAAAAACAATCTGAGGGTTCGGGAGGGGAGAGGAGTGGGGGTTGGGTGAGCCTGGTGGTGGGTATTAAGGAGGACACATTGCATGGAGCACTGGGTGTGGTGCGTAAACAATGAATTTTGGAACACACACACAAAATTAAATTTTTTTAAAAAAGTAAACCACAACTTGTTAGTAACTGGAACTGGGGTTCTTTTGCAGGGAAAAAACAACATTGGTGGGAAGATACTTTCATAAACACTGTGGGGATAAGGCTGAATTTTAGTCTGGCACCTATGTCTCATGAGGAAGAGGAAAAAACACTGGAGAAAGGAGGAAGGAGAGGATGATTAGGAGAAACAAGACAAGGTCAGAGAGATGTAGTAGTTGGAGACAGAAAGCAAGAACATTCATCTCTACTGGAGGATTTTAAAGAATATACTCTGTCATGTGTTGTATAAAGACTTCTCCTCTGCTCTAACCTCCTCCACCCCAAATTCTTCAGTAAAATTGAAGGTGTGCTGAGATCCACTCAATGGCAAGAATGGACAAAACCAGAGACCCCACCTAGGCACCAGAGAAGGCTTGGGTTATGCTAACAACAGAAATGAATTTGGAAATGGGTTTTTAGAAAAGCACATAACTTTGAAATACAGACGATCACTTCCTATCCTCAATGTGCTCCTAATGTTTGGTCTCCCACTTTAGCCCATTTGTGGATTCTTTGGTTTCTGTGGCATTCTATTCTCAACCCCTTCTTACTCTACATGTGTTCACTGAGTAATCTCATCTACTTCTCTGGCTCAGTTGTCACCTATATGTTGAATGAATAGGTGTAGATTTGTCCTGTTCTTCATGCTGTGTCCAGTTGGAGGAAACTGAGGCATCTCTAACTTCACAAGTTTAAAACCAACCTGCCCCTCCTCCTGATCTCTTCTTCTCTCAGTGCATCACCATCATTGGGTTGACCACGGCTTCTCCTTCACCTGCTGTATACAATCACCAAGCATCTCCCGACCTTCTCATTTCTGTCCATCTACTCTAGTTTTGAGCCCATCCTCTTTCCTCTTAGTATCTTTAACAGTTGTCTTAACAGGCTTCCTGTCTCCAGTTTTGCTTGGGACCCTCCCCTTCACTGATGCCTTCTTGCTGACTATATAAACTCTCTGCTAAAAACATCTAAATGGTGATGCATGGCTGGATTGCTCTTAAGATAATGACTGACCTCTTCAATACACTGTCAGGCTCTGCGTGAACTGACCCTTGCTCGTCTATCCAGCTTCATCCCCTGAATACCCACAGGCATGCTGATCTTCTCTTAGTTCTTAGAAAGTTCACTCTCTCCCCTGGGCTCTCACACATGCTGTTCTTTCTGTGGGTAACCTGGCCTTCATGCTTCCTCTACCTCCTACCTCTTTAGCCTGGATAAGACTCACTCATTCATACATTGTGTATGAGTATATATATAGTCTCAGAGGAAATAACACTTTCCCAAGCAGCCTTCCTACCATCCCCATCCAGGTTATAGGCTCCTCCTGGTGTACCTGCCCCTCACCTTTTGTTTTCCTGACACTGTCCTAAGACTTTATTGCAATTTGTTTGTTATCTGTTCAAATTCCACTATAGACTGGTGAGCTCCGACAGGAAAGGAGTTATGTTTCTAATTTGTTATCCTTTATATTTTCATGGTCCTGAACATAGTATTCGCTCTTAAAATGTTTGTCAAATTAAGAGAAAGAAAAAAGAAAGAATAGCGAAGGATATACAATTATTAAAGATTTCAATGACTTTAGTAGAGAATGATTCTTTTAATACCAAAGCAAAGAGAATAGATATTTTAATGACTATTTCCAAATTTGATTTCTTTGTTAAGGCATTAATCATGATAATTATAAAGTACCAATAATTTTACTCAATTTTCTTCTTGTGGAATTGCCCCTACCTACCAGTTGCTGGAAGCTCACAGAAATTATAGCGCTTTTACTGAAGTTTTCTTTCTCTTTGGGGACTAGCTGTATTCACAAAATTGTCCCCCACTCAGCTACAATAGTGTGGCTAAGCCAACTGCTCTCTGTTCTCTCCCAGAAAGAGAGAGAGAGAAAGAGAGAGTGTGTGTATCTGTGGGGTGTGTGTGTGTGTGTGTGTGTGTGTGTTTGTGTGTCTCATTTAAGGACAAGACCGTGTCCTATCCTTCTCTCATTGCCCATTGCACATGACGAAGTTTTTCTTTTATGTTAATGGTCTTTTTATTGGGGGGACAGGGGGAAAAGGCTAGCATTTATAACTTTAAATGGATGTAAGTTGTAATTTTTCAAACAGCAGTGCTGAAGGTCGTCCACAACCACAGCCTACTTTCCTGGGTCCAAGTCATGGCACAGGAGGTTTTGAAAACAGAGTCCAAAGATGCTCCCTTGGTAAAGGTTTCTTTTTAAAAAATTTGTGTTATTGGTGACAGCCTGATATGCATTTCACCGCAGTGCAATGCTGACAATGCTAAATCAACACACACAGCATGGGATGAGTGTCATTGTCACCATGGGGGGGCATGGAAGTACAAGAGGGCCATTCTGCTTAGTGGGGCTACATTATTTTTAAAACATGCTTGTGTGGATCTCACGGGGTAAGCATTTCTGCATCCACAGCAACACGGACAGGACATTCTTGTTCTAGAACAGGCTCATATCCTAGACCATCCTGCTCAGCACCCTTGTTATCCCCCTTCTTCCCAAGGTGACTCCAGAGGAAAGGTAATTGATTTCTAGCTTTACTCAGCAATCTCATTCTGTCCAGTGAGTTAGTAGGGTGGGGAAAGCTGGGACCACATTAAAAAAAAAAAAAAAAAAACAGATCCCAGAGTCACATTATTACTTTCTCCCTCACTAAGAACTAAGGCTATACCCTGTAGCCTTGAGGTTTGCATAAAGGGTCCAATTTTTAGCTCGTTCCCATGATACCAATTTTATTAATAACCATTATCTTATACAGGTTATACTGCCAGGTGTTTTTAGGCACAAGGCTGAGGTGTGAGAAACTGTTTATCTTGTTGCCTGGCTACACCTTGTATGTATACAGAACGCAAAATTATCAAGGGATGAATAACTTCAGTGTTACCAAGACTGTCCCTAGTTTTCCTCACTTCCCTCAGGGAGCAGCCTTCTTAGGGGGGCAGAGCAGAGAAGCCTACCATCCTGCTAGGCTGACATATCATGTGTGAGGACATATGGGAACCACATTTTCTCATATTACTTCTTCAAAAATGAATTAAATTGGTCTATAAAACATACATCTTTGTGACAACAAAACTGACATATGAACAGAAATTCTTGTGAGGAATGACTTCAGAAGAACTAGCAGTGTTGAAGAATGTGTGTAAATGGAATTCACAGTCAAAAGAGCTAACGGAGAGGGCCCGGCACCTCTCCTGGCGTTTACACTCACTGAAAGCGAGAACACTTTGGATGCATTTCAAAAACTTAAGTGTTTACAAGCATAAACATTCTAAGACATGTGATGCAGAATTTGGAGGTATGTGCTTTCTAAACATCTTCTCTGACAATCTACTGCCAATTTTTATTTAATCTGATATTGTAAAGCTTCACTAGCTTGTGGTCTTTAGTACTTTGAAACCTTGGATCTCAAAGAAACATCTTTTCATCAAATAATGCGTCAGCACCTCCAGCTTTAACAAACAACCCTCTTGCTGAGCTTCTCTTGCCTTGGACATTGTACCAGAGAAGATGCTAGAAAACTGAGCGTGGTCTCTGTCCCTGTAATGTTGACAATTTTGTTGGGGGTAAGAAGGCCACAGGTGCATCGAAGAACCACAGTTAGAGACAAAAACCGAAGATTTGTCTTCTTACAAGGTGGTACATAATTAACTGAGTAGATTAAGGATGGTGGGATAGGTGTAGGAGTTCACAGGAAGAGGGAGTTTGTTCCAGATGGGCATTTAGAAAGGCCCCACAGAGGAGGTGGTCCATGAGCCAGGCCTCATGAAAGGAGAGGATTGTGAAAGGTAGGGAAGGAGGAAAACATTCCAGCCAGAGAGCGATGGCATGGCACAAATCTTAGAAAATTAACCCAGTCAAGAGACACAGGACAGACAGTCTGTGCAGAAGAATGGCAAGAAATGGGAAAGGTCTTACCACCCTTTCTTCAATTCCCTCTCCAGGCTGTACTCATAATCATGTTAACTTCCCACTTTAATTAAATTCTAGAGAAGGTTTTTTTTCCCCCCATTAGAAAGTACAAAGACAACACAAAACAAGGATCTCCAGAGATGGCCAAAGATCTGATTTTTGAAATCTGTACCAAATCTGCAATGCTAGTTATCATTAATTAACTATAAATAATTTGTTTTTATTTCTTTGCGTAAATGTCTATTTCGGAACAAGGAGAAGAGTTGTACAACATTTGCTTTTCAAGTCCACATAACAACATTCACTTGACAAGAAGTTTTTGTCGGCTGTTTGTAGCTAGAAACAAAGTAATTTACTATTACCGCTCTTGTCCGGCAGTGTCCCAGAGCTGAAGATGCACTTTAAATGCTTTCCCTGATGAGCCATTTGGTCCTTGGGTGTTATAAACCTAAAAGATACAATTTTCATCAGTTCATATCGCTTTGGATTTTGTCAACATTCAAATTCTCTGGGTTCACTCAGCATGTTTTTTCTCAATTACTATAATCAAAGTTCATAGTGCAGAATAAATATTTGCTCTGTTTTTTCCAGAAGTATCACATATACTCTCACTTTTAAATGTCAAGTACAAGTATGATTTTCAACACAATTTAGGCATACTGCAAACTTAAATTAGACACCTTCTGTCATTTCCTCACGGAGGGAGCAAACATTAGATTTAGGACCCAAGTTCTAAGTTCGAGTATCAACCCTTCATTTCACTTCTTTTGAATCTTATTTTCTTACAGCAAACTGAGACCCACAATTTCTTCCTTCTTTACAGAGTTACTGCAAAAGTACATGACATAATGGATGTGAACGTACTTTTAAAATGGTAAAATACTTTACTAATACATGAATATCTTTTGCTGTGACGTGGGCTTCCAAAGTGACCTACCCAGGAAATGCACACAGAATTTCACAATAAATTTTCACAAGATATTTCGAGTCTTCTTTTACTCGCCATTTTTTTTTAAATGCTCTTTTTCTTTATGTTTACATTTTCAAAATTATGGCCTTTTGGGTTCTAAATTAAGTGAAGCCTAACAACTTTAATACTTCATCAGCGCCCCAAAGTACGGTTTAATAGAGATGTTTATAGTGTGGTTTAGCATAAGCATGGTTTAGTAAAAATGTTCAAAGGGAAAACTTCGCAAGGACTTATCTACCTAGGTGAGTGGAGGCATTTGGGAGGGGTGAGTCAGAGGAAAACACTGGAGGGGTTGCAAGCAAGGGTGCTAAGAAGACCCTAAAATATATTGATCTTCAGATGAGGTACAGGATGTATAGGGAAACATGATTTAACTTCTCAACCGCGATTTCCCTTTCTTCCTCCCAAGTCTCGAGCAAAGAGTAGATTTGAGACATCAACTAGAAGCCACAGCCATGTTGGCAATCAAGAATACCTTGGGTGGCAGTAAATCTGGCCCAGTTCATGTGTCTATGCTACACGTCTCACATGTCACAATATCCTTACTCCTGTCATTAGCGTCTAGCATAGGAGAAGAAAGCAGTTGTAATTCTCACTTAAACTCCCTTATCTTGGAAAATAGCATGGACTGGTCTCACATTCTGTTCATAATAAGCTAGTGATTGATAGCTGAGTTTACACATAAATAAAAATGCAGCAAGCACTTACAAAGCTCATTTTCCAGCTATTTGCCAATCATTCTTTTAACTTCTCTCTGAAGAGTTGTGAAATGAACACCAGTTCTTATGGAGAAACTTAACTCAGATCAAGAGTTAAGGGTTTTGCAACCCGGATCATTCAAGTTTTGAAAGACTCCTAGAGAATTCATAGAAAACACGCCATATAAACCTGTAAATTCTTTCTTTGTCCTATACGCTTTTGGAGACAGGTGATAGTGTCACTCCACATTTTTCTTGGCAAAATATTGATAGTTGACAACATTAAGAATATTCTCAATTGAATTAAAGTGACAGATTATAAGTTCCCTGTGATAAAAGACAGACACCTTGTGGTACAATAAACATAAGTTCTTAATTCTATTTTTTATGGGTGGGGGGGAGAAATCAGCAACAAAGTTAACATAACAGTATGGTTAAAAACTCACCACACGTTTTTCCCGAAAGTCTATTCCTACTGTTGTGATGAACTTGGGATTGAATTTATTGTCCGTGTATCGATAAAGAAATGTCGTCTTCCCCACCCCCGAATCTCCAAGGGCCAGGAGTTTGATCAGATAATCATAGTCCCCATCGGTCATAGTGATGGTCTTGGTGGGTCTGTGTGGGAGAGGAAAAATAGTAGGTTATGATAAAACTCGGTTTCCCTCTACCTTCCTTCAAAACACAACATAAATGTACATTTCAAGGTTAAAATAGTTGGATACTTCTATTTTGTCAAATTCTGAATTAACTTGCTCAAAGCAGCCTTGGGAGTAAGAGTACCCCCATTATTTCACTCAGTACATATCTTTTTTTTTTTTTTTTGAAAGAAAGATCACAAGTAGGCAGAGAGGCAGGCAGAGAGAGAGAGGAGGAGGAGGCAGTCTCCCTGCTGAGCAGAGAGCCCGATGCGGGACTTGATCCCAGGACCCTGAGATCATGACCTGATCCGAAGGCAGAGGCTTTAACCACTGAGCCACCCAGGCGCCCCAGTACATATCTTTTTACATCCTATCAGTTTATATGGGACAAAAACTATCTGGAACCCACAATAGTCATTGCCACAGTAGTAGTAGAAAGTAGCCATGGCTTTTAGTTTTACAGCCGGTGCCCTTTGGGGCCAGGAAGAGGAGGAGGTCACAGGAAATCAAAAAGCCGACCCAAGATGATGCAGGTAGGCTAGGGAAACATTGAAACTACATATGGGTAAGTGGAAGAGAAAAGCCGAGGGAAACATTTTGCATCTAATCATGTATAATGAGCTTTCTATTATGTGCATGCAAAATATTCCTTTTTAATTTAAAAAATTTAACAACTGAGATGACAACCTTTAAAAACATTGATTTGAAATCATTTCAAAAGCAGTGTCTAAAAATCTTCTGTTTTGAAATACCAAAGCCTCTGTTCTCCAATGGCAAATCTGTTGTATTTGGCAAACCTGCTGAATATTTTCCAGACCTTGAAAAAGGAGAAAAGCTAGTAAGAAACATGACTATGGTAATTCTGCTAGTATTTCTCCTGCCTGAAGGAATACCATTCGCCATTTTTCCCATTGTGCTGACCTCTTTTGCCTCAGTCTTAATTTCTTCTGTTGTTATAAGGACTATGGGTAAGGCCAGGGTCTAATGCCTGGAACACCTGCACTGGTGATTACCTTTGAATTACACTATCAGCTACAGAATATTTAATGAGGTTTCCACTCTGGAGGTCAGCAAAATGATTTGCCATTTGATAAAACTTTCTGGTTCGTGAGTTGTAGAAACAGGTTCATGATAGTCCCACGTAGAGGAAGGCCTGCAAAGAAGTTCTTAGAAAAGTATCTCTCCTATTATATGAAAGGGCAGAACATTTTTCCACTTCTACAGATCCAGAAAACATCATACTCCCCAGTTCTGGGGCAATTAAAATTAAATTTCAATAAGTTATCCCACAGATATATCTAACAATTGCTAGATAAGGGGCGCCTGGGTGGCTCAGTGGATTAAGGCCTTCTGCCTTTGGCTCAGATCAAGCCCCAAATTGGGCTCTCTGCCCAGCAGGAAGCCTGCTTCCCTTCCTCTCTCTCTGCCTGCCTCTCTGCCTATTTGTGATCTCTCTCTGTCAAATGGATAAATAAAATCTTATTAAAAAATTGCTAGATAATTTTAATCATTTTTTACCTGTAAGAAAATGATGTACATATTCATCACTTCAAATAAAACTTTATTTTTTACACAGTCACTTTAGTTAGTGATCAAAACTAAAAGGTTTCACGTCTTTGGATAAATAATGATGAAAATGATAATTAGGTACTTAGCAAATCAGTACCATTACATCATTTGGAAGATTGGCAAATTTTTTACATTAGAATTCTTTAAAATTTGAGCTACCCTGCCACTAAATCCTGTTAAATATATTATGGATGTATGTTTCTTTAATTAATGAAGTGTTTTGAGAGCTGCCAATACATAACTTCTATGCTAAACCTCTCCTCTTCTATAGTATGCTTTCTTCACTGAGTAGGACTCTCAAGGTGAATGTTTGCTGAAATGTTCTTTTATTGTCATTGCTTTTGTTTAGTAGCTATACAAAGTATAGTCATTGCTCAGGAAGAGTTGCTTAGCTTCCATCAACATCCAGCGTTCTTCAATACAAGGATGCAGATAGCTCAGGTACTGACCTGAAATTCTTCTTGGAAAATGTCTTCATTGACCAACTACCCAGCAGTGACTAGTTCTGAATTCAGAGGGTTCTAAATATCTTACCAGGACTTTTTAGTTGAAGATGTTGCTGTTCCTACTCTCTGAGTTAAACTGGTTGCTAGAGGAGATTGCTATCAATTCCCCCCACTTGGGTCTATCTGGGCCACCATCACTCGACCTTTTTCTCTCTTTGCCTCCCAAACTTGCTCATGTGCAACTCCTCTGAAGGGTGATAATGTCTGTCATTTCACTAATAGAACTGGATGAAACTGCTAATTCTCTTGGGAAAGAAGGATTAAACTTATCCTGAGATATGTGACAAAAGCTAAGTTCTTCCCTGAGCACAAGTCTTGATCAGGGGGAGGAAATTAAAGGTACTGGCTGCCTAAATACAAGATAAAGTTGGGGGATACTGTGGCCCCCTGGCCTGGAAAAATGAAAATAATGAAGTCAAGAAGATATATCAGCATACTTCCAATTTTTGCTTAAAGTTAACTATGTTTTTGCAATATTTTTTGTGACAGAGTTAAGACAAGCTAAGCCTCAAGCAAATCTAATTAAATACCTCCAATATACAGTATCAGGTCCAAAATTGAAAAATTTAAAAAGTAATTACCTTAGTATCTGGCGTACATACACTTAAAGCTTAAAGATGAAAAAAAAAAAAGACCTAGATTTACAAGAGGAAATATGATTGACAGATGAGTCAAATAGTTGTGGTTTTAGTTCAAACAAATCAGTAATTTCATGGGCTGTAGTGGTCTGTGAAGATTTTGTAGAGGAAGATGAACTTGTATTTAATCTTATAACAAAGGGAGGAATTACCTATGTGGAGAGAAGATACAGGACCACTGCATCCGCTAGGACTTCCCACTTGTACAATGAAACTATCACCACTTGCCAGCGACATGACCTACCAGGTATTCCAGATCTGCAATTTGTTCTCTGTTGTTGGTACATAAACTTGCCTGAGGCAATACTGACTTGCCTCCCAGTCAGGCTCTAATCCAGAGTGAACAATTGACTAACCATGGATCAGTTTCACGGTGGCTCACACTGGCTCTCTTCTATAAATGAAGGATTGTGGACACTGAACAAAAATTCCACCTGAAATCAGTACAAAACTTGACACTATAGAAAACCTTTATTTAGTGTCTCCAGTAAACTCATTAAAGAAATTGACAAAGCAAACTCGGTATGAGACAGTTTGTCTTTTAAGTTGCTTTTGAAAATGAATTTTCTCATTTTTGTATCACCACTTATATATAATTATTTTGTTAGGTTCCGCTTTTATTACCATGTGATTTTCTGAGTCCTAAAATCATATGACCTTGATATTCTATCCTTGGCCTGGCAAATATGACACCACAAAGAAAAATAAAAGCCTTGGCAAAGTTTCTTTTTCCAAGAACCGAGCTAAAAAAAAAAAAAAAAAAAAAAAAAAGATCTGGGAAGGATCAAAAAGCTGACAAGTTTAGCAGTATTTATTCCTGCACAATGATTGATGGTCTTGTCACTTCTTCCTTCTATGGATCTAAAAGTAAAGAAAAAGCCAGAAGATTGCTGTACTTCAGGAAGTATGTCTGACTCTCTCCCATTATCACTGTGTCACAAGCTAAACCACAAGAGCCAAGCAGTCTTCTAGATATCGAACCCGAAGCACCATCCTCCGAGCCCTTTATGGAAGGTAAGGGGCTGGAAGAGAAGGAAAAAGAATCCAAAAACACTTGTGAGGCTCTACTCAAAGAAGAGTCTCAAAGACAGAAGGAACTTTAAATAACCCTCCTCAGCTTACAGAGGAGAAGTCATGTGCACAAAAGTTGTATGACTTGTGGGATGACAGTTTCTAACAACAACAATAAAATCCAAGACTGTTGTTCATTATAACTTGAAGTGAAAAGTGGGTTAGATAGGTAGAAAGTAGAAATATTTTCATTCTATGGGGGAAGGGAATTTTCTCTGGTTATTGCCAGAAACATGATTTTCATTGTTAGACTATCTCAAATGAGGCTGCCCAGAGTTTCTTTCTTTTTCCCCCACTGCTATGCCTCATTCTTGTTCAACATAAATCTCATTTGCTCAGAAACTTAATATCCCTTGTCCACTGCTGGATCCAGAGTCCAGAACAGTTGCTGGCATGATTAGGGGATCAGTACATGTGTGTTGAACATCGGAGCCATGCAAATGTCATAATTAATGAAATTAATCTTTGAGCAGTTGGTGGAAGTGGAGTCCCTCCAAGTTCAGGACTTATATTCTCCTTCCTTCCTCAATTGTGAAGGGAATATTTAGATTAAATGATCACTGTGGGACCTTCCAGGTCTGGCTTCCTGAGCTCATTTTTCTATTTCTATAAAAACCTTCTCAAAATAGAATACATGTATCTTCAGAGAAGCAGTTTCAAAGAACCTAGGAAAAGAGAAAGCACAGAAGGACTGTAATTTTGGATGTAAGATCTGTATCGGCAGAGAATACATAAACTTGTCAGTTGAATAGTTCAGGGCTCAGAACTGGGTTTCTCCATAAAAGTACCCATTCACCCATCTAACACATACTCACTGGCATCTTGTAATTCGCATGATATTCTGCATGACTCCAAGGATACACACTGTTTTCTCTAGAGAGGAGCTTAACAAATGCTACAGATATGTATGGATGGCTACTCTACAGGCAGACTTCCCCACGTGAACTTAAGATATTCTTTGTGAGCTCTCCAAGTAACAATCCTAAAAATGCCGTAACAAGCTATGACCTTGTGACTTGAACTTATTAAATTGATAAAAACCAAGTTAAATTCTTTTTTAAAAAGATTTTATTTGTGGGGTGCCTGGGTGGCTCAGTTGGTTGGGTGTCTGCCTTCAGCTCGGGTCATGATCCTAGAGTCCTGGGATCAAGTTCCGCTGGGCTCCTTGCTCAGTGGGAAGCCTGCTTCTCCCTCTGCTTGCTGCTTTCCCTGCTTGTGCTCTCTCTCTCTCTTTCTCTGACAAATAAATAAATAAAATCTTTAAACAAAAAAATCTTTTAAAAAAAGAATTTATTTATTTGAGAGCGGGAAAGAGCATGATCAGGGAGAGGGGCAGAGGGACAAGCAGACTCCCCGCTGAGCACAAAGCCCAACACAGGGCTCAATCCCAGGACCCTGAGATCATGACCTGAGCTGAAGCCACCCAAGGGCCCCCAAACCAACTTAATATCTTAAGGCACTTTAGAAAGCTTAAAATAGTATACAAAGTATCAGTGATATTACTTCGTGGTGCTCTACATAAAACAAAGCTGTCAAACATAAAATGGAGAGATGCTTAATATTTTCCCATTTATCTTTATTGGACTGGTTTGTATTGGGCTCCACTAGGTACATTTTGAGATCTGGAATTCCCACAGCAAAATGTCACTGAGTGATCGCTTAAGGGTGGTTCTCATGGACTGACCTTAGAATTCTGCTTCCCATAACCACGTCCATGTCCTAGAGGAACTGGGGCGCATGGGTGGCACAGCTGGTGAACTGACTCTTGATTTTGGCCCTGGTCATGATCTCCAGGTCATGAGACTGGGCCCTGCATCGGACTCCATGCTCATGAAAGAGTCTACTTGATATTCTCTCTCTCCCTCCCACTCTACCTCCCCGCCCCCAAATAAATAAATCTTTTCTAAAAATAAATAAATTATGGATGGTACTCAAAGGACCTATAGCCTGCGCAGCAGTAGAACAGAGGCATCTTGTGAAGGGAAGGGAGATGGGGGGGGGTAATTAAAGAAAAAACAACTTTGTATTCAATAGCATTTTCTTCTGTTAAGAAGGTTTTGATTTTCATTTTGATTCTTCTTAAAGGCTATTTATAATTAATGGAAGTGAGCCTATATGGAAAATTCAAACCCAATTATAAATATAAATCAATATCAAGTTAATCAAGCAACCTTTACTTAAGCCGACAATGGTCAATGTGTCTCTTACAGCAATCAAATCTATTTTAAAAGATAAAAGTAACCATTTTGCTTCATTCTGTGATCAAGGGATCTAATGTAACAGAGATAAAGCAAGAAGTTATTGAACTCTGAAGTTCAGCTTACTTGGTCTGAAAATAAGGCATAAAAACTCTAACACAAGTCATCTTTAAATTGATTTATCTCCATTGATATATTATTCTCACATATTTTTAAAATTATTCTCACATATTAAACTCACTTCTAAGCCAATGAATAATTTCATCTAAATATTTTTTTTCTTAAAAGTAACATTTTTTTTCCATTGGCTTCATTTTGTGGCAACTTTTGAAACTATGAAAGGGTTTTTTTTTTCCTTTTTTTCTTTACTTTTTATTACAAGAAATTTCTAACATATACACAATTTGAGGGAATAGAAGTATCTTCCCATAGATCATTCAGCTAGCTTCTAAATGATCACTACACCTAGGTCTATACCCAAACGAAATGCAAACATATATCTACACAAAAACTTGTACATAATGCTAACTGTCCCCAAAAGGAAATAACCCAAATGTCCATTAATGGATGAACACCGTAAGTGAAAGAAGCCAGATGTAAAAGGCCACAGGTTTTATGATTCAATATACATGTAATGCCCAGAATAGGCAAACTCATGGAGACAGAATATAAGTTAGCATTTGCCAGGGGATGCAGAGAGAAGGAATGGAGAGTGACTGCTAATGGGGAAGAGGCTTTTTGGGAAGGATGATGAAAATATTCTGGATCTAGATAATAATGGGACCACATTTTTTGTGACTGTACTATAAACCACTGAATTGTACACTTTCGAAGGTTTTATGATATATGAATTATACTCCACAGAGTTATTTTAAAAGCCTAAGGAAGTAAAAATAATATATTTTATTTAAAAAAAAATTTTTTTTTTTTTAGCTGAGCTCCACTTTCTGGGTGTTAATTAATACTTGTTTACAATGAAGTCAATTATTAGCAAGAATCATGTGTATTCAGATAATAATACCTTCCTGAACCCCAATGGAAAGTACCTGTAGAACATACTTTATGAGCCTGATTCTCACATTTACATCAATTTCTTTTTTATAAAAATATTTCATATGGAGTGCCTGGGTGGCTCAGTTGGTTAAGCATCTATGACTCTTGATTTTGGCTCAGGTCATGATCTCAGGGTCTGAGATCAAGCCCCACTTCAGGCTCCATGTTCAGCATGTGGAGTCTGCTTGAAATTCTCTCTCTTCTTCCCTCTCCCTCTGGTGTGCACCCCGTCCACCCCCCCATAAATAAATAAATAATCTTTTTAAAAATTCTTTATTTGATAGGGTCCCGATAGCCAGTCTACTGAGCAAATGTGCTCACAAATCAGGAGTCATTGAAAATCACTGAAGAATAGGGAAGGCTGGTCATCAGACCCCATGGAACAGCACTGGACAAGAACGTGGCTGTGTATATCATCCAGTGGGGCCCCACACTAGGGGATCATCAGTATTCCCTTGAAGGTCTGCAAGGACAAACTCGAAGACCTTTCCAGAAGGGCTAAATCGGAATCTCTGCAGCCAGGTCCTAGAACGTAAGAGTTCACAAATACCACTAAAATATGACAGTAGAACAGCCAGATTTAGGAACTGTTTTTCTCCTTTTTTTCACCTTGAGGCTCGTCTACAGGAAATTCTTCCAGAAGGTTAGACTCTTAACCTCTTTCAGCAACTCATTCCACAGTAGGAAAAAACCCATTGGTCAAGAAAAGAGTCAGCTGATCTGATTTGATCTTGTTACTGTCAAGAGCAATTTCCCCTTGTTGATTGCCATCAGCCACAGAGTTGCTAGAGTCCTGCTGCTGCTGATACATGCTAGTGCAGTGCCCTTAACATGCTTCCCTAGCTCTGTATCATTTTGTTTCCTCACATATTCTAAATTTTGTTTCCCTAAGAATTAGGAGTATTCCTCAAAACATTATTTACTCACTTGAAACATGGAAGACATCACATAAATGTTGCAATTAAGTAAATTAAGTGTTAAGAATTTTTTGAAAGATTTAGTATCTGACTTGGAAAGGTTTTATGCTTGTCTTCATAAGTGAGCCACATGATCTACTTTTCATTAGAGAGCCTACTTTAAAGAAAAACAAAATGCTTTTGTAGGGCCTTTCACCTAGGACTTTAACTACAGAGCAAGAAAAATAAATGTAAATTCCTTGCAATTCAGCAAAGCTTCATATGGAAAGACCTGTATCTTTCCCAGGACTGGAAAAAACCTTTGTGGTGATACAACACATTAGGAAGTATACACACATCGGTTGACACCTTCCCTGAAGCCAGTCAGCAAGACCAGAAAACGGGTTTTCCTAACTTAGTGATTTCTCAAATGTGGCAGTTTTTAAAACTCCCTGATGCCCAGACCATACCTTAAATCATGTAAATCTGACTCCTGATGGTGAGACAAAAACATTAATATTCCAACCTACCGTCAAGTTTGAGAACCGCCACGCTGCCCTTTAAAGATTTGAGAGAGAAAGTGTGTGTACCTAGGAGTACACAGGTGGGGGAGGGGGAAATAAGGGGGAGGAGCAGAGGGAGAGAGAGGATCTTAGGCAGACTTCCTGCTGAGCACCCAGCTGATTCCATCTCACAACCCTGAGATCATGACCTGAGCCAAAACCACCTAACGGACTATGCCACCCAGGTGCCCCAAGAACCATCATACTACCTTTCAGCACAGAGACTCCTCACAGTCAGTGAATTACTTCTAATTTCAACAGCAAAAATAACTCCTAGCTTCATACTATGGCTAACAGGAGAGCTGAACAGACCATTCATGAAGACATACTGTTTCCTAAGACAGTGGTTGGATGGGAAGATGGTACATTTCCCACCACAGGTGCCTGCCTCCGTGGGCCCACCAGCACTGGCCATGGGAGCTGCTTTCCCTCACTACGACAAGGGCACGCGTCCTCTACGATGACAGTCAATCTATCTCTTTTTTCTGTAGAGTTATGTGACATATGGAAAACACTGAGTAGAAGCTTCAACCCTTAATGTCTCCACAGAGAAGAACAATATGAGTTTAAGCTAAAGAGATGAGCATTTAATAAGATGTTCTCCTAAGTTTTCAGACATTGGTCTAATAATCTTGCAAAACTATGATCATTTTCCAGCTGGCTGCTGCTTTGAGAAGTCTTGCCAAACTTCCACTGCTTTGCCTCATTATCTGAGAAAGGGCATATTAATCAAAATATCTGCCCATAAATTTTGCATCTCTCAAATGTGAGGAAGCCAAGTTAGATAGCATCTGTGGGCTCACATATCTATAGAAAAACGAAAAGATGAGTTCCATATTCTTACAATTTTCTCACTTAAACATAATTCTAGTAACTCATAGAGCCATATAATTCCAAAAATAAAAAAGACAAAAAATCCACAACCTCTTTAGGAAAAGAATGTTGGCTAGCTGCT